CAAAGACATTAATTAATCGATTAGGTACCGATTTAGGGCGTTGTGGGGGTGCTAATCCTTTCCCATATGTAACCGACTCCTGAACTTATTTTTTGGTAACGCAGACCACAATTTATTGTTTTAATTAAAATTAATTTTTATTTAAAATGAAAAAACATTTGTGGGTGCCCAATCACCCTAATCAAGGACTGGTGGCGACTTTTCGAACTGTATTTTTTGCTATCGTAAAGGAAATCTAAAATTTTTTGAAACGAGAGGTCTTTTAAATCGCATTTGTTTTTAAATTAAAAATCAATTGAAAGATGATAATTAAGAATTAATGTGGTTTTCAAAATCTCACCTTTTAAGGAAAAATCGTTTCGACAGGAAATATTGGAATATTTTTTATTATCCTTAGAATTTTTTGTTCAATAAAATTGCATGGTTGAATTTGGAATAATGGGATTGTAACTTAAATTTGTATTCGAATTCTTAGATTTTCACTATTAGAGATAATTTATAATCGACGAGGTACCAATTTTGGGCATTGTGGGGGTGATTATCCTTCCCCACACGTAATCGATCCCCTAACCCCTTTTTTATTACAAAAAAAGAATGAATCTCTGGTTACACGTAGACTGATTTATCTTTTAAAATGATATTTTCTTAAAAACTCTTTTAAAAGAAAGTTTTTAGGTATTCGACCTATCAACTCAAAAGGTCGATGACGACTCCTCACATTTCAAAACGTTTTCAAAGAAAAACCCCCAAGTTGTACTAAAATTTTCCCGCTCGGGCGAAAAACGGTGTCGACAGAAATCTTGTTGATCTTCCCTGCTATGGACATTTGGATTGCATTTGGATGCGTTATTTTGCGTTTGTGGATAGTTTCACACGATACTCGGCTCCAATCTACAGTTCTAGGTAGTCTTTCAATAGTTTAATTCCCTTTTGTGGTTCGTTTGTCGATGCAACCAATTTTATTTGTATCTATTTTAGTCTCTTGGTTGGGGTTTTTAACCTTTTCCATGTATGATCCTTATATGATCTAAAGCGGTTAGTTTAAATATTGTATGAAAAATCCAAATTATGTATTTAGTTTACAACGATAGTTGTAAACTCATATTATAATTTCGGATATTTTCACATTTTTAATAATACTAGCGACTTCTATTAAAAAAACCAACACAAAACCACTAAAGTAAATTTTATATTCAATTAATAATTGGATAGTTGTTATATTTTTAAACATTGATTTATATAAGATTAAAAGAAAAATTATATTTAAGTTTTGTATATGATTAAAATTGATTTGTAATTATACATTTTAACTATAGAATCTAATAAAAATTAATTAAAATACAGATGATTAGTATAAAATTATTAATTAAATTAAAATATATATCAATTTTTAGATTATATCTATAATTATTAAATTATAAATGTTAAATATTAGTTTATATAAAATTGAAAGAAAAATTAAATTTAAGATTTACACATGACTAAAGTCGACTTCTAATTATAAATTTTAACTATATAATCCAATAAAATTAAATTAAAACATAAATACTTTGTATATTTTATTTTTTAATAAAAAGTAAAATTATTAACTAAATTAAAAATTATCAAATTTTAGACTATATCTGTAATTATTAATTATGAATGAGAAAAAGATATTAAATTTAATTTAAAATATATAAAATGTAAATTCAAATTTTCTTTTAATCTTGTATAAATTAAAGTTTAAAAAATACTATATATATTATTGTGTATTTTGCAACACAACTAATAAGATAGGTTGAGCGGTTAAGGCGTGAGTTAGATGTTCAGGGCACTCGAGTTTGAGTTCTTTTTGGCCTTTTAAGATGATTTCCTTTGCTTTTTGTTTTCAATCCAATCGGATGATCTCACTTGTCATTATTTGGTTAGAGAAAATATAATTAAATATATTAAATTATAAAAAAATTTATTCAAATGATAACATTTATCACTATTTGATTGAAAGATTAAATTTATTAAAATAATGACTAAATTGATAAAATATATAAATATTGAAAATCAAATATGTAACTATACCTATTTTATTAATTGCGTAGTTAGCAATTTCGTCAAATGTTAGTAGCTTAATTAAATGCATTTAAATAGTTGAGTGATCTGATTGAAATTATTTTTAAAAATGATAGTTAAAATTAAAAAGAGTGATAGTTGGGTGGTAAATAATTTATCCATTTTTTACTTCATATAATTGAATTATTTTTTACTATACCTAAATATTAAATAAAACATGATTAACTTTCATATAGGGATAATCTGTCAACGCCATACGAAATCCCACGTATTAATCTCTAGGGATTTGCCGCCACTTTCATATGTACAGAGAAGGGCTGTGACGCTCCGGTTTACCTCCAACTTGCTGAATAATTGAGGGTTTGCCCAAACCCTAAAACCCAACTCTTTAATCTCTCCACTCGTCAATGGCTTTCTGGGGTTAGTTTCTTACACCCTTTCCTTTCTTTTTCTTTTTTTTCTTTCTTGTAAAAGTGAAGTTACGGTTAACATTTTCCAGGAACCAAAGTGAAACCTGGGAAGCCCTTCACTCGATCGCCTCTCAATGGAAGGCTTCATCTATCACAGGTACTTATTTTTCAACTTTTCTGTTTTCCCTTCTTTGTTGGGTTTAATGTGTGTTTTTCAATTATCCGAAATCAAAATCGTTAAAAAAAAAGTGCATAAATATGTTTTTTTTTCAGGCGGCATTAGGCTTGGGTAATGGAGTACAGAAAAGCATAGTTCAATGTAATGTGGGAAATGGTAGGCCGGTATTTCTGTGTAGTTTGTTCCCTGATAAGGCAGAGTGTTGTCAGCTCAATTTGGAATTTGAGGAATCTGATGAAATCGTTTTCTCTGTTTGACCCTTGAACTGTTCATCTTACTGGTTACTATATGGGCTCTACTCCCCTTGATCGTTATCCCAATGATGAATCGTATCCTTTTGTTTTTTAAGTTTTCAAATTTAAAAGCTTCATGTTATTTTGTTCTTTCCCTTAACTATATTGCTTAGAGAATCCTATGGAGAAGATATTGCCGAGACTGAAACAGAAAGGACCAAGAGTAGTGAAAAAAGTTAGATTACATCTGAAATTGTTTCCTAATTTAAATACCCTTTTTTGTGTCCGACTTCAGCAAATGAAGAAACGCCAGAAAATTGATTCTGATAATGAAATTTCTCAGCAAAAGGATTTCACCTGTGGTGTTGCTTCTTGGGTAGTATTGGACAGTGAAACTGAAGATACATTTCCTATTTCCTCAATGCTTTCAGGAAAATGAGCATTAAAGAGAGGAAATTATATACCTTTAACAGTTTAAAAAAATGTTAAATTGATAAAAATATTATTATAAGACTTCATTTTAAAAAAATATAGGCTTTGCGAAATTGGAAAATTCTATAGCGCAAGTCGTATATCGCAACATACCACTAAAGTGATGTATCGAAACACGTCATTTGCTAAATTGTCCTTATTAAGTAAATATTAAAAGGGTAAATTACACGTTTTGTATCAAAATTATCACTTTTGTTTCGTTTTATTTTTTAAATTTTATTTTTTTTAAAATCATTAACGACAATGTTTAGTTGGCATGACATGTCAATTTGTTTATTTTTTAATTACCAAATCATTTTTTTCTTTATTCGTTGATATATTTTAATTAATTTTATTTAACTAATTAGGTGGTAACACATCACTACCAATGGGGATAAAAATTAGAAATCACTCTTACTCTTAGTATGAATTGAAGTTGGGTCTCTTATAAGAGAAACAAATCACTCAACCATTGAGCTAAACTAGTCATTTAGTTAAAATTCATCACATTTTGTATTTAACTTATATAATGGTATCACCATAAAATCAACATTTTTCGATGATTATAAGATTCAAATACGAGACACTTTAGTGTAATTTTTTTTTATTATACTGAACTTAATACTTACTTGTTCATTATTAAATTAAAAGAAAATTTTTCACTTTATTTAAAAAATAAAAAAATTATTTAAAAATATTAGTTATCAAAGTTAAATGAAATAATTATAAAAAATTATATTTATAATATTATAAAAATATTTATTTAATTTATAAAATCGAATTAATTATTTATTTGAAATAATATTATTTACAAATTATATATTTAATTTTAAATAATTTTGATGTTAAGGTAAATTGTATGGTTATTATCCAACTATTACGTTGGTTCTGTATAATATTATTTATAATTAAATAGATAATTTAAAAATAATATTATTTAAAATAATTAATTATTATTATTTCAAATAAATATATAATATGATATTTAAAATTAAATAAATATTATTTTATAATTTTATAAATATACTTTTTAGAATAATTAAGAAAATATTAATTTTTTTAATATAGTAGATTACTCTAGTATTCTTCATACATAATTGATTTCTGAAATATTCAACAAGGATTCTATACATATATACTTTTTTAAAATTACTGAATAGTTAAAATTAATTTTGATATTTTGAATTTAGATAATGAATATGTGAGGAGATAAATGAGTGATATAAAGAAAATAATCAATTTTAGAGAAAAGATGAATTGATGAGATTTTAGGAAAGATAAATATTATTTTTTTAATATAGTTTTAAAATCTATTTTTAATTATAATGTTAAAATATTTTTTTTATTAATATGAGGTAAGTATAAGAATATATCTCAAACTTGAGTCCTTAAGGAATATTAACAATTCATTTACCACGGAGCTCATTTGATTCATGATGTTAAAATATTTTTAAATTTTATTATATATAATTGATTTTTTTTATTTATCTGATATAGAATTTAATAAAACAATATCTACCTAGAATAATTGAATTATTTTTTTACTATACATAAAGAGTAAATAGAATATTGTTTACTTAATTCAAGGATAATCTGTCCCACGTATAAGATTTTGCCGCCTTTTTCATATTTACAAAGAAGGGCAGAGGGGTTGTGATGATCCGGTTTCCCTCCAAGTTGCAGTATAAATAAGGGTTTACCCAAAACCTAAATCCCATCTCTGTAATCTCTTCACTCTTCAATGGCTTTCTGGGGTTAGTTTCATATACTCTTTGCTCTCTTTTTCTTCATGGTTTCTTTTTCTTTTTTCTTGTAAAAGTGAAGCTACGGTTAACATTTTCCAGGAACCGAAGTGAAACCTGGGAAGTCCTTCACACATGTACCTCTCTATGGAAGGCTTCATATATCCCAGGTGCTTATTTTAAAATTTTCTATTTTCCCTTATTTGTTGTGTTTAATGCGTGCTTTTCAATTATCCGATATCAAAATTTTTGAAAAAAAGGGCATAAATATGTTTTGTCAGGCGACATTAGGAATGGGTAGTGGAGTACAGAAAAGCATAGTTAAATGTAATGTTGGACATAGTAAGCCGTATTTCTGTGTTTGTTTCCTGATAAGGCAGAGTGTTGTCAACTCAATTTGGAATTCGAGGAATCTGTTGAAGTCGTTTTCTCCGTTATTGGCCCTCGAGCTGTTCATCTTACTGGTTACTATCTCGGCTCTTCTTCCCTTGATCGTCATCACAGTGATGGATCGTATCCTTTTGTTTTTAAGTTTTTGAATTTACTTTCGTGTTATTGGGTTCTTTCCTGCTGTTTCCCTTCACTATGTTGCTTAGAGAACCCTATGGAGAAGATATTGCAGACACCGAAACAGAACGGACCAAGAGTAGTGAAGAAAGTGAGTACGGTGGTAGTTTTATTGACGATGATGATGATCCACAAGTCTTCTCATCTTCTGAAGAATCTCCTGCTGGGTTTGGTTGTATGTTTCACCACACCTCTTACATGGAAATTTTGATCATTTGTCCATTAAATTTAGCCTTTTTTTGTTACAAGGGAACAATAATCATCATTGATTCTGGTTAGATTACATCTGAAATTATTTTCTTTCTAATTTAAATGTCTTTTTTTTTGGTGTATGAATTCAGCAAATGTGGTTGAAAAAGTGGTATTGGAGCAAAATGATCAAAATCAAAAGCTGTCCAGTAATGAGTCCATGATGTAATCTCTTTAGAGAATTATCTGTTGCATGAAATCTTTGCTTCCATGCTTGTTTACTTAGTTGTGTCATTTGTAGCAATTGTCTTGTTAGTAACAACTGCTATCTGATATACTGCAGGATATGTCAATCAGATAATCCGTTGTTGACACCCAGTGAAGTGAGTACTGTCGATGGAGGTAAGCTAATTCGGACAAGAAAGGAACACGTAGAAGACAATGATACCAACGGGGTTGAGGTCTCGAAAAATGGTTCGAATTTAAATCCCGTGATCGAGGATGCACTTATGGAGGATAAGGAAACCCAAACTCATGTTAATGATAAGTAGGTGTTTCTCTTTTTTCCTCAATTTCAGTCTTAAATGTGTGATGTTCACTTTTGTTTTTCTTTTCTTGAAGTCATTCTAAGAAGAGGAAAAAGAAGAAAAGGTGCAAGGATGAGGGAGAGCAGGATGGTACGAAGATGGAACCACCAGCCCCCTGAAAAGGAGCAATCTGTTGACTTGAATGGCAAGAATACTAATGACCAGGAAATTCAGCTGTCGAATGGAATTATGATTGAAGAGTTAGAAAAGGGAAAACCAAATGGGAAAATAGCTTCTCTTGGTAAAAAGGCATGTAGTATTTTATCCCTGGGGTTTCGTTGGATGAAAGGAATTGGTATTTTCCCCCCTTTGGTGCTTAATTATTCACAAAGTTTCGTTGCTATCAGGTCCGCGTCCATTACACCGTAAAGTTGAAGGACAGTGGGGAAGTAATTGATTCAAGTGCTGACAAAGGTCACTTAACGTTCCGACTAGGTAACATCTTTTTCTTTAATCATGCTCTGTAAATATATTGTTGTGTGTTCAATGTTTAGTTTTGATCAAATTAGATTCCTCTGCAAATATATTTGGTTTTAGACCTTTTGAGTTGGACTTGTATCTTTGTTGCTACCACAGTTGAGGGACAAGCTCAAGAGACATGGAAGGTTGGCATTGATGGTATGAACTTGTCTTTTGAAGTTGCTTATCACTAAGTTATTGGGGTTTGAATTATATATGTAATGATTTAAATAATGATGAGTGGTAGGCATGCAAGTTGGTGGCAAACGTAGACTCACAGTTCCACCATGGGTGAGGTGTGTGAAAATACTACTCCATGCTGGTTTGTGCATTTTTGTATGGCTCTTGAGTTTGGTTTGGTTTGTGTTGCAGTACAAAGGAAGGAAGAGGTGAGAATATTCCACCAAACTCGTGGCTGGTTTTTGAAGTTGAATTGGTTAAAGTCAGGTAATCGGTTGGCTTCATAAGCCAGTTTTGTTGAGGCATACATACACCTTGCCGAGTAAATGACCTTTTGGAGATCACATCTCAGAGTTTTAACTTTTTGTTTTTGGGCTTGGATTTTATATTGCGTTGCTTAGAAATGGTTTAAACAGTTCGGATCAATAAAAAGAAGTTTGAAATTCATTATGTTTGTGTAAATATTTAACCTGTATCCTACTAGTTGACATGTGTACATTAAATTCAGTAGGTTAATCAAACATGCCATCCATTACCATAAGTAAGCAAAGTTGTTATAATTGTGTAATTGACAAAAACTCATATTCATATGCAATTAGTTGAGTAGAAAGTAAATGATTTCGGATGTTTGTTATATTTAAAGATTTTGGGTTTGCGCCTTAGACTTGTAAAGATATTGGAGTGTTTAAATGATTGGAAACTTTTTGAACAAATATTATTTCATAAGTATCGCATATTAATACAAAAAAATAATTAATTAATGAGTTTCTAAACTCTCTACAAGATATAACAAACAGGGCACTTATTTTCTTAAAGGTTTCATATATCCTGCTTTAGTAGAATCTTCATTTTTGTCGTGTAATTGAACTTAAGAATTCCAGTAAATAAGCCAGTGTTCAACTTTGGATTTGAACCGATCAACATTCATGATAGCAATGACCCTTTTTTCAGTTTTGATTCATTATTTTGATTTAATGAAGTTCAATTTTGCCATTCATTGACTATTATGTTAACAAATTATATACCTATATAAAACTATTTATCTATACTTTAGTAATTTTAATATTTTTATTTGTTTATTAAATTTTCAATAATCATATAAGCGGTTAATTTTCATTTTTACCCACCCATTTATTTTGGAAATATTTTATTAGTTTAATATTATGCTTATGATAATGTTAAATATAAATTATATTGATGCATTTTGTTAATATAAATTATATATTTTATTTAATAAATATAAATAATATTTTTATTAATATTATTTAACATAATTAACCTGACTCATGATTCACGTAATGGGAAACTCTCTCAATCCTCTCCTTTGTTTTTTCTCTGGAAATCTCTCCCAGCGCCGCCCATTGTCTCTACGCTTGGGAGAAGATTTTCTATGGAAATCAACGCCAATCTTGAGGCGTTACATTGCATGTAGGGATGGACATTTGACCCGAGTTCGACGGGTTCCGACTCGATCTGAACCTATATGGTCATTTAAAAAAAATTATGTTCGGATTGGATCGGGATATAAAGGAGATAGTGTCAGGTTCGGATCGGAGTTGGGTTTAGAGTAAAACATATCCGGTCCGACCAGTATAATTATAAAATAAAGTATGAAATATTTACAAATTTGCCTTCAGATTTATACATTATTTAGGGTTTTAGTTCGACTTCCATTTCATTTTCTCACTTTCCCTTGTATCTCTTTCTTTCTTTTTCTTTCATTCTCAACTTCTATTTCATTTTCTCACCTTTCTTGTGTTTTTTTTTTCATTATAGTTCATTGTTTTTTTTAATTTTCCCTTAATACATCAGAAGTTTCTTTCGTCGTCTGCGCGTTCCATCTTATTTTTGTAACAATATTTTGAAGATTTCAAAATATGAACGAAGATTCAAGTATTATAGAGTATTATTTATGTATTTCTTCTTCTGATTTTTTTGTTTTGTTTTAAAAAAATCTGATATTCTTTTCATAGTTTAATTTATTTTTTGGTTGCTTTATTTTTAAGTTTATTTTTATGTTTTGTTTGTTTGGTTGGTTAGTAAGAAAATCAAATAAACGAAGAGAAAATAAAGGAATAGGTGAGAAAATAAGTGAAATTTGGAATTGATTGGGTCGTGTCAAGTTAAATCGGTTTTTTAGTTTAAATTTTGGGTCGAGTTGTAATACTCAAAATTTTGGTTAGTGACCAAAATGTAAATTTTGAAAGTTCAGTAACCAAAGTATAAACTTTGGAAAAGTTCATGGACCAAAAATATAATTTTTTAAAAGTTATATATTTTGACCCGTAAATGAATAGTTTACTCTGAAATTAAAGTGTTTGTGGAATCTGAATTTTGATTCGATATTTGTATTAAAAGTTATAATGTAGTAAATTCCAATAGGAATTAAGATAATAGGATCGAATCAGAATTTTTAGAAAAAGGTTGGAAATATTATTTCCATGAATAGTGAAATTTAACATGTATTAATAGAATTCAAGTTGGTTTTCCATATTAAGCCAAAATCGTGAAATTTGGAGACTAAATTGCAATCTTCAAAAATTGCATGGGCAATGGTGGAAAGCCAATTTTTGTTGGTTTATCTTTGAATTTAGAATATTAAAATGGAATATAATGCAATGGCATGGTTGAAATTATCAAGTTTCATGAATGGAAAAATGGTAAACTAGTTTTAAATGAATTTTAAATTCAATTAATTATTATAAAGCCATGTGTATTGTGATAATTATTGTGAAAAATTCAAGAAAATATCCATCTTCATCTTCTCCAAATTGTGGACACCATTGCTAGGTAAGGGAGGTTTTTCAATTTGATTTTTAAATTTATTTAATTGATTTTTTGGGTTAAGCTATTAGATAGAGAATTAATCTCCTTGAAATTATCTATCATTTGGTATAATTATTTTATGGAAAACATGATTTGATGATGAAATTCATGATTAGGGTTCATGAAGAACATGTTGAATTTTGAAGAATTAAAGGATGATTTTTATGTTATTAGTGTTGTAGATTAATTTCCAAGCTTGCGTGGTGATTAAAATCGTCTAGAAGTACATATATAAGATTCGACCATATCTAGGGTTCATGGAGTTTGATTGAATTTGGATTTAATTTGATGTTGTGATGATTTTAATTTCATGAATTTGATCATAGGAGCTTGAATTGATGTGTGAAATTGAATGAAAGTCATGCCATAATTGCTTAATTAGGTTCGGCCAAGATGGAATAATTAGGGAAAATTATGCAAATTTTTTTTATATGTTCTATATTTGATATTTGAATGATTCTACATGCGTTCGAAGTTGGTTTGGATTAATTTGAAACACTGTGATAGAAAAAGGGCCATTTTGCAAGTTTTGGAAATTATGGGACATTGAAGTATAAATGATCAATTATGGGTGTTCATTTCTAGAATTTAATGTTTAAATGCTAAATTTGAAGTTAGAATATTGTTTTAGATCAAATTGAAAAATTTGGGAAAGTTTGGTGGCTAGCTCAAAAGTATTGAATGGTTTCGGGTTGAACAATAAGTTCGCAAATGTTAAAGTATAAGATTGAAAATATTATTTCAATGCTGGAAATTTTAGTATTGGATTTGAATTGAATAAAATGGTGAATGACCATTTTAAGGTAATTGGAAAAGTTAGTATGAATTCTAAAATAATTTATAAAGGTGATTAAATTGTAAGGTTTGTAAAAATTGATTGATTTGATGATGAAAATGAATATATAAGTAATTGTAGTGTCATTTTGGAAAGTGTTGAAGTTGTTATAAAATAGTGAAGAGATAAGTATCGAATTATATTTTATGGATTTAATTATTGGATTTTGATTGTGTTACTATAACACTAACATATACTTTGAATATTGTGTTTTATGCATGATTTTATTTAGACTACGATAAGTCTTGTGATAGAATTGAGTCGGAAGTGAAAGATCAAGTACAAGATTAAAAAGAATATCATTGTAGAAGTTCGATAGCGAGGCAAAGGTGAGTGCATTTTATTTATTTATTTATACTGATTGAGAAGGACTTGTGATAAATCAACCTTGGATGGCTTTTAAAGAAAGGTTTGAATCAAATTATGAAATATTTCTATAATGTTTACTGAAAAGATATATGATTTATTTTGGGTATGAATTACCCAATATGTTTTATATGATACTTTTTGAAAGGGTATTTGAATAATTTCCCTAAAATGATTTTTGGTTACGAGCTGCCCAAAGTATTTTATATGATTTATGTATTCTAATTATGAATGATTTTGGGTATGAACTACCCAATGCACTAGTTTGGATAAATGATGTTTGAAAATGCTAATGATTGAAAATGTTGGATTTATAAATGGCATGAATTTATCATAAAGCCCATTGTATGTTGCATGGAGAGTCATAGGTACAATTGATATGTCATGAGGTGGAGTGATCATTGTTTATTGATATTGATGTAGTACATTTGCATACATTCGATATGGCACTGTCGGCGCAAGTTATTATCTGAGGCACTTTTGAGTACATAGTATTGTTTACTAACTGTCGTAACCGTGTTTTTGGTGGGCCCGGAATTGGGCTTCGACTTAAATAAGTGGGTTAGAGTTGTCACCGATCATTTATTTTTAGAACAAAAATTGGTTGATCGAATACCTCGATTTAGTTTCTTACCTGATCTGCATCTTACCAAAAATATGTCGGGCTCAGGAGTCGGTTACAGTCAAGGAAGGATTAGCACCCTTGTACTGCCCTTTCGGTACTAATTTGATTTCCAGTTGTCTTAATTAAGAAAATTGCAAGTTAAATTAGAAATAAAAATTCGATCAAATTACTTATCTCTGATTGATTTAAAAGAGTACCCTTAAAAGATAAAAAACGTTAGGTTTGTAAAATAAAAAGACTGAATTGATCAAAAGAAAAGATGAAGGTAAAATTATGATACTTTAAACAGAAAAGAAAAACATACGTACATACATGCAGGGAAATAAACGTAAATAAAGTTAAGAAACTGAGAAATTGAAATAAATAAAACAACCACAGATCCCACTATTAAAAACAAAAAGTGATAAAAAAAACAATGTAAGGAAAAAGTCTATGGCATAAAAAACAAAAGAAATACCAATTGCGAAGTTAAATACAAACAAAGAAAAACAATTACTAAAATAAAAATAAAAGAAATTAAATTAAATTAAATTAAATTAAATTTAAAAATTTAAAAAGATAAAAACCCTAAAAATAAATTAAAATAGGAAAATAAGATTAAAAAAATTAAAAAATGGCTAAATTAAAAAGGAAAATAAATGAAATAATAAAAACCCAAAAAGTTAGTTAAATTAAAAAAAATACAAAATAAAAGAAATAAAAACAATAAAAAAGAAA